TCTCTCTCTCTCTCTCCCTTCCTCTCCCTCTCTCTCCCTTCCTCTCCCTCTCCCTCTCCCCCTCTCTCTCTATCTATCTAGGATGGGGAAAAGTGTCGGTGGGATTGAAGAGTGAGAATGGATGGGAATAGGCGGATAGAAAGGAGAATTGAAGACCAGAGAACAACACCAAGGTAGGTCAAGTCACATTTGGATGATTTTGAGAAAATGAGCAAAACCCTCATTCGTGAAATACGTACAAGTAAGTTTCAATTAAAGGGCTCAAAATATACGTTTTATTGGACTTGATCTCGTTGTTACTGTTGTATTCACATATTCAAGTTTCTCATCTCTGAACAGAAATAACTGAGCGTAGGAACATAATAATAGCGCTTCGCTTGTGCTATTAATAGAAGCCGTTTGTCGCCGCTTTCGAATTACAAAATAATAAATGTATAATATTAGGGCCTATTATTAATAAGCAGAACTCCTTTTTTTTGTAGGAAAATGTGACTTAAACAAAGATTCTCACTTGACCTTGTTAACAGATCTTCTATTATAGTGTTTGTGGGATGGGTGAGAATAGGAGGCGGATAGAAAGGAGAATTAAAGTGTTTGTGGGGTCAGGTGGGAATATATTATGTGGAATTAGGTGGGATTATAGTGCTGTCAAACATCCGTGGCGAAAGTTATCCTCAAATAGATTATTTATTTTCTTTAACGAGTGAATCAATATCACCCATACTTTGCAAAGCAGTTTGTATCAATTTGTCTTAACTTGATGATGCAACTCAGGGCTAGATTAAAAGCATTTTGCTTAGTAATTTATATAAAATAGCCTATTATAAATCTCCATCGCTCGTAATATGGGATTGTTCACAGCACTTCCCGCTTCTCACACACATATTATTATTAATGTCTACGTCACAGCTCAGGCCAATGACACTTTTGTGGCAAAACTTGTTACAAGAAATTAGTGAACACTTTTTAAAACTAAAGCTTCTCAAAACACGCGTTTAATAAGCATAATGTCGCGCATGATTAGAACAAAAAATGATGGACTTGAACTTGAAGCGATATTGCCCCAGCTGTAAACCTTTTAAAATCTGTAGAAACAACCCACTTGTATTTTTGATGAGTATTAATTAAGGAATTTTCTAGAATACAGCTAACAGTTTACAAAAAATATAGCCCTGGTTGAGTTCTGAAAAATAATGCATGGGTTACCTTTGCCTTTCTCACCCTGGGTCAGACCAGTATAATATCATGTACGCCACGGACCAATGCTTTCCATATTTCTCTATCCTGGGCTATAGTCTCTTGATGTTACTCCATGTCTTCCCACTTTTCTGTACATCAGTTTCTGTAATTCTCCCCCTCGATCGTTTACCCTGTGAATTCCAGTCTAACACTTTCTTTGTTATGCAGCTTCCTAACTTCCTGGGAGTTAGTATGTCTAATCCATCGCACCCCCCC